AATGGGAGAGAAAGGACAGTATCGCCAGGCAAATAAATAGCAGCGTACATTACATTTTTAAAGGAGATCTATAAGAAGAGCCTCCTTTAAGTTTTAATATCAAACTCTATAAAGGCAGGACAGGTTGAGTGCATGTATTTTTGTAATTGCACAGGTGTTCAGTTTTCCTTGATAACAAGAGTTATAAAAGCACATAAGACTCAAGCATCCTTCAGTGTAATATGTATGTAAGTCTCATAGGCGGTCTTCCAAATCAGGTCTCTGGCTCCAGGCTGAGCTCCCAAGAATTATCTTAAGGGTCCGTCTTGTCTCCCCTCGCCCAGAACAGAAGAACTGGGAAAGGCTTTAGGAAAGGGCTCCATAGCCACTTGGTTTGGCCAGGTCTCCCTGGCCAGCGATATTAATTGAAACACAGATATGGTCTGTGCCTTCATCCTGACTCGTCTTTCCCACTTCTTACAGATCAAAAGAACCTCTCGCGGCTCCGCTGTGGATTTGCATTACTGGATTGGCAAGGATTCATCTCAGGATGAGCAAGGCGCCGCGGCCCTGTATGTCACCCAGCTGGACAATGCACTCCAGGGCAACCCCGTGCAGCACCGGGAGGTGCAGGGACACGAGTCTGAGACCTTCCAAAGCTATTTCCGCAATGGCATTATGTGAGTAGCATAAAATACCCTGTAACGAGGTAGGTGATGGTCCCTGGGGGTCTCTCTGCTTCTCTCCATCTCAGAGCCCTCTACTTTTCAAATATCTGGAAAAAAATAAATTGATCAGCACTGAAGTTGGTCAAAATTCAGAAGAAAAATTTCCCATTTTGAAAAAAATTAGTTGTAAACATTGGGACTGGAACCATGTCATTCTGTTCTACTGGTTGTTTTCCCAGATATTTGCTATAAATGCGCCTTAACCTCCCTTTTGTTCACCATAGGGTCTTCCTTCCTCTCCTCTATGCACTTTAGATTAGTATGTCCATTCAGGGCACTTCAGACTAATATCAACCTTGAAGAGAAGTCCTGATTTGGCTCACACTGGGAGTAATATTCCTGAAGGGGAAGCAAATTTTGACTCTGAAATTCGGCCACCTAAAATTGGGTTGAATCTAACCCTGCGGTCGTGGCTCTCTTTTGAGTCCTTTGAACTCCAATAGCTGTCCTCCAGCAGGACCTTCACTGGCAATAAAGAGCCTAAGTGCCTTGCTTTTAAACAGCTGAAGAAAACTGAGATGAAAACACATCCTTGGTTAATACCCTCTCTCACAGTCTGTTTTTTGATACCTCTGTATCGTGTATATCTACAACCTCTCATGAGTTTCCTCGGGACTTTTGTGAGACAAAAAAGTGCTTTAATCCTCATCTTAAAGATGAGTAAAGGGCAATGAAGGACTGAAATTCAGACCTCCAAAAGTGTGCAGGTTTAGAAGTCTATTTGGAAACCTATCTGCCTGTGAAATCAGTATGAGTTAGACATCATCTTGGTCTAAACCACATGCCTAAGGTCAAACAGGAATTCTGAGGGAGAATGAGAAATTACAGCAGGCTCTTTCCACACCTTGGCAGATGGACTAATCACCACAGCATCCTTCTTGGATATGTTCAACTGGGCCAAACAAGTATGAAGTACTGTGAATCAGACCACATTTGCCAATCTCTTCTAAGCTATGATAAAATACATATATTACCCACATGGCAATAAATAAAAATTTCAGCAATTATCTCTCTCTCCCACAAATGGCAATTATATTGTGTCAATTATTACTGTAAGCCCTGAAGAATGAACATTGGATCTGTTTTCTAATATGGTCTAGGATATGTGGAATTGGGTTAGACTTGTTCAAACACCACTGAAAAGGCTCTAGGAATTCGTTTGGGGACTGTGTGAGTGTGTCTTCCTTGCAAAGTTGCATGGAAAGGAGAGGGTGGCATCATGCAGTGAGGCAATACAGCGCTAATAGCAGCTATTGCAAAGTGCGTGTTCAAGGATGGAAGGCCAACAAAATCAGTAGGTTAAATCTGAGAGAAAGACGGTGTTCTGTACCTGTTTATGATAGTGCTTTGTTCTGCTCATGGCAAAAATTTCCTATCTAAGCTACTTTTAATAGAATAACTATTTTGAACAAAACCAAATTTTAGCAAGGAGTTTGTTTTCTGCAAAATAAGTTTCATTTTTTAAATGAATGTTTATGGAATATTTAAATTCTGAGATGCCACTGCCATGGTTAATGGGTTTTTCAGTTTGGTTGTCTTATGTTTCCGTTGCCATCCCTGACCTGCCTGTTGTTCTACACATCTTCTCCAAAGATGCACAACAGCAACACTGCACCCATAGCAGGCAGATGGATACCATGAGGAGTCCTGGTTTGACAAGGGACCATGAAGAGTAGAGTGAGGCAATACAACATTTGACATTCCATTTTTAGGACTTTGAGATTTTATTGGCTCTAGATTTTTTAGTTGTCACCAAAACCTCGAGATGTTCTCAGAGGATAGGGGGAAAGATATTTTCTAACTAGCTCTGACTCTTTATTCCCTGCTACACAACAGCTACAAGAAGGGAGGAGTGGCTTCAGGATTTAAGCACGTGGAGACCAATATGTACAACATCAAGCGTCTTCTTCATGTCAAGGGCAAGAAGCACGTGTCAGCCACAGAGGTAAGAAGAAGAGCCCTCTCTCCTTATGCACCATTTCTCCTTGCCTCTCCTCCTACATCCATTTTGGACCAGGGTTACCTGTGAGATAGCTCACCTCGCTCAGGGGTTTGGTATTATCATGAGAGAAGCCATTGGGCTCAGTGAGTAGCTGAGTGCCAAAAAAATGAGCATGTCATTGCAGACCAGTTCTTACATGCCCAGGGGCGAGTTTGCGATGGCTGTGACTTGTCTCCTGCAGCTCTGGTTGTGTCCCCAGTCCTCACCGTCTGGTGAACACTTCCATTTTCTCATGACAGGTAGCACTTTCCTGGGACAGTTTCAATAAGGGCGATGTTTTCTTGCTGGACCTTGGGAAAGTGCTGATTCAGTGGAACGGACCCAGCTGCAGCATTGCTGAGAAATCCAGGGTGAGTACAGGAAAAAGCCCGTCGGTTTACTAGTGGTATTTTTTGGTGCCTGGAGGGGGAAAAATAGAGAAATAGCGCTCAGTGTTTGCACAGTGAAAATCTTGGTAAAACCAGCAACATGCAGATGAACAGAGAAAATCGTGGTAAATCATCTACTTCTCCATCTGCTGATATCAGAGGCCCAGGGAAGTGCTTTGCTCCAGTTCAGACCCGGCCTCAGCTTGGGTTTCACGGGCAGCTGTGGGCACTTCACTATCTCCAGCTCCAGAAAGGCACCCAGCTCCCTCTGGGGAGGTCCATCTCCATCTCTCTGTGCCCTGTAGTTTGCATGATATGGGACTAAAAAGTCAGCAGCAGCACGAGTAGGTTTAGCTGCAGTAACTACCCCATGGGTAGATGAATTTTAATTGTCTTTTTACAGCATCACAGGAAATTCCAGCTTGGTCAGTATGAGACAAGCAGGAATATGTAACCTAGGCATTGCTAGGTCAGATCCATTGCACTTTGCAAAGGGGTCATTATCCTTATTTTACTGATAGAGGAACTGAGATACAGAGATATAATAAAGCAAGATATATCAATGTGCCATCAGCAAAGCTGATGGCCAACCTCGTAGCCAGTCATTATACACATTAAAAGGCAGGCAGGTCTGCTCATCACATGGTGGCACCTGATGATCTGGGACAGGGGGAAGCTTCACAGGAAAGGCGGTTTTCCAGGACACAATGGCTAGGAGAAAATCCAACAGAGCATGGAGAAAAGACAGAGAAACCCTCAAGACACAGAGGAGGGGGAGCAGGTAGAGGGAAGGCTGCTGTGAGGAACAGGCCATGGTTCATCTCAGGCCTGGCAATCGAGCAAGTCATTGGTCTAACAAAGAGGGGCCCCTTTCAAAGCTGTTGCAGTACGAGTCATGGAAAAAAAAAATCAATGGAAAATGGAGATTTTAGCCTAATTAGTTGCTTGGCATTTCACGCTGCTTCTTTTCACAGAAAACATCCCCTCTTTTTGAATACTTGAAACATTTAAATGTAAAATGTCACCACGGGGCGCCCAGGGTCCTGCAGCTCTGCAGCATCTGGCCTCGTTGTCCTCAGCATGTACGCATCTCTCTCCCAGACCATCTCAGTAGATTATTGGACCTGCTCATGTACAGTCACACATAGGCAACGCCTGTGGTGGTGACTGTGCACCTCTGCCCTGCAGGAGCAAGCACCAGGAGCGACTGTAATAAGCAATATTTTCCTGAAAGTTAATTAATAAGCAGGCATTATAGACACATCCCCTTTTTCAATAGCTAAATTTGGAGAACAGTAGAAGCTTCAGAGAGTTGTGGTAATCTGGCTTGGACTATTGGTGCTCAGTCATTGCTTTAGGTCTGAGGCTTGCTGAATTTGTTGTCTGGATCAGGACTTACCCCCCAGTGATCCTTGTGCAGGGTCTCGCACTGGCTCGCAGCATCAGGGACAGCGAAAGAGGCGGCCGAGCTCAGATCGGCATCATTGACAATGAGAAAGACTCCCCAGACCTCATGCAGATCATGAAGATGGTGCTGGGTGAGAGGCGCGGGGAGCTCCGAGACGCCATCCCAGATACGAAAGCAGATGAGCTGCAGAAAGCAAATGTCCGACTCTACCAGTAAGTCTTGGGATGGGCACCAAACCCCATCCTTTCTCACAGCGGGCAGTGCATCCCCTGACTCTGCTCGGTGACTGTCTTTCAGTGTCTATGAGAAGGACAACGACCTGGTGGTACAGGAGATAGCCACCCGGCCCCTGACACAGGATCTGCTCCAGCACGAGGTGAGGGAAAGCCTTCAGCCCTTACAGCAAGAGAAGAATGCTGTGGCTTGCTTTATTTTCAGCTGAGCACCTGTTTCAATGGGATACCCCTTTTCCTGAAAATTATCAGCCCTTCCATCCCTCAGGTTTATCAGGTGTCCTCTGAAAACGAGGCAGCTTGGCCCTACTACAGCCTCAGTGGCTAGAGGTAGGTGGTGCGTTGAAGCTGCTCTAACGAGAGATGGCAAATCGACCCTCTCAACCACGGATGATGTTATCTTGGCAATCAGAGCCAAGGAGACCTGCGGGCCAGGAATAAATTCCGGATGGAAATAAGGCTTCTTAATACCTGGTGTTCAGGGACAGCCCTCCATCTGCAGAATTGAGAGTAAATAAACACTCTGCTCACAAAATCACGAAGATTTTTCCTGCTGTAGCAAGTGGCTATATAGAAGAATATTCCTTACAGACCCTCTGTCCAAAGGCTTTCAAAAAACAGAGGCTTTCCTAATATTGGCAGAGAATTGCTCATCCTTAATTCTCTGCAGTGCAAACCAGCGTTGTGCTGCAAGGCTCCAGCTCCCTTACCCACCCTGGTGTCAGCCTTGTTAAAGCTCAGCCTCCTTTTACAGGCGTATGCAGCTTTTGCTTTTCTTGTCATAGTTCAGTTTGAAAAACGAGGAGCCTTGGGTCACGCAGTGGGTTGTCAGTTTGGAGCACCAACTCTCTGCGGTGGAGACAGGCTGCCTGGCAGCCACCTCATCCCCTTTGGGTTCGGGATCCTACCGTGTTCACAACGATGCAACATTTTTAGTTCCAGATCGGGGACACAAAATAGTCATACGGAAGATGTCTAACTGTGACTTTTCCTGCTCCTTTAGTAGCAGATTTGGCATAAATACGCCCCACCATCAGCAGTGCTGTAGCCCAGCAGGCTGAGGGTGATATTTCAGTGTACACTTCTCCTTGAGCCTTTCAGAGCTGTATTTTCTGTTGGTTTGGGAACACCTCTCATGAAATGGTAATGGCCAGTTTTGAGCAGTGCCTAGGAAAAATACATATTTTAACTCATTACAGTTAAAGGGCAGCTGCCTGGGTCAGGTGTGCTCACAAAGTCAGAGTACCCATGAACCCCTGCACTTCAGGGTTGATGGTAGTTGTAGTCTATTTATGAACCACAGTGCATCCATCATCTATTGCCTCTTCTAATGGTTGCACCAGGCTTAGAGCTCTACAAGGCAAGGAAATGAGCTAGATCTACATCTAATCTAAATCTTCAACAAGGATCCAACCTGGGTAGGCTACAAATAAGGACCTTTGCTTGTGCAGAGCTTTTTATGTCTGTTTTTTCTTTTCCACCTCAGGACTGCTACATTTTAGACCAAGGTGGTTTTAAGATTTATGTCTGGAGAGGAAAAGCCTCCAGCGTGGAAGAGAAAAAAGCAGCCTTCACTCGAGCTGTGGTGAGTTGTAATACTGTGCAAACAATGTCACAGGAGGTTAACTAAGTGCTGATCTTGATCTGACCACTAATTACAATTAAGCGTAGGTCTTGAGGAGCTGGCCTGTGTAATAACAGAGAGAGAAGTTAAACATCTAAGGGAGGCATGATGACGTAAACACAAAATTGTTAGTCACCAAATTGCGCTAGAACTAAGACCTGCCACTAAAACTAGGAAGAAATTTGTTGAAGTAAAGTAAGTATAAAAGAAAATGCTTTGTTACACAGTAAGTGGTGGACTTCTGGATTTTGTTGATCCAAGAGATGGTGGAGACAGAGAGTATCAGCAGGGTCAAGATGGGATTAGACAAATTCATGGTCACCAGGTCCATAAACAGATATTAAAGGGGCTTTTATATCCTCTCTAACATCCGTGACCGAGTATAGAGAATGCTGGGGCGAGCAAAGGGATCACACTGCAGACAGCGACCAGGCTCACGTGAGCTTGCGAAACAGCATCTCTTAATGCCACTGTCCCAGGCAGCACGGACCACTGCTCTGACCCTGACAGGCATCTCTTGTGTTCCAAACCAAGTGTAATACCTTGGGCAGATCAATGGGGAACTCGATTACTGGGACACTCTGGAAAAGCCAGACCTTCTATGTAGGTGCTACAGGCCTCAACACCAAGTCCATTACGGGCAGCAAGTCTTTTTCACCATGCTGATGGCTCTGGGCCCAGGTTCTGCATGTGAATTTGAAGGTGATACAGTGCTCTTCCACTGGTAGAAAGAGATTTGTTATTAACTGCTATTAATTCAGATGGCCAACCTAAGGCAAGACCAGGGCTCATGTTAAGGTAGAACACACCAGCATAGTGCCCTGGTACCTCCAGATGAGCTGCCATGCAGGTATTTTCTGGCAGAGAGTTCCTCAAGGCTTCCTTTCAGAAAAAATTAGCCTCAAGGGAGCCTTTTCAAGTAAGGCATTTGGCAGGTTTTTCACAAGTTGGCAAGTTGAAGTGAAGGCATCAAGGGAACTTAGCTTTTAATTCATCTGTTCACTTATGTGAACCATAATAGCCTCATCTTCAGTGAGATCTTACTAGGAGATACTGAACTTGAGTGGCCCCAACTTCAATAAGGTCTTACCAGGAGACACCCAGCTTCAATACCGATTGCAGCTATTGTTTGCAGCTATTGTCTCAGAGAAGAAAAGATTAGGCAAACTTTGTCTTAAAACTTGTCTCCAAGTCCTCAATGCTCTTTTCAAAAGCTTAACTCAAATGCTTTTTAGGAGGCAATCAGCTCTGCAAATTCTGGCCCTGAGCTACACATGTAGAACAAAAGATATCTCTTTCTTTCAGTGTGGCAGGTGGGAGGGATGGGGAGACCATCTGCTCTGCTTTTCCCGGGGGAGAGTGTGTGGCTGCAGTATTTACAGCAGAAGATGAATGCTCAGAAGCCTACAATCAGGCTCTTCCCCTGAACCACGGCTGTCAGCACTGTACCTCCAGGTCATCCTGGAGCTGCTGAGATAAAGACAGAGCAGTTCCCAAAAACCAAGCAATGACTTCCTTGTTGTGGCAGAACACAGTTTTCTTCTCTCTCATATTGTATCAAGCACATCTGTTGAAGTAGTCTTTTGATTCCATAGTGGCTCTACTGCAAAGAAATAATTTGTTTTTAGGGGCGGGGGGAGGGGGGAAGAAATAGACATTTGTGAGAGTTTAGTCCCTTCAGAACACACATTATGCTCTGGGGTACTGAGCTGCCTCCACCCCTTTGCTACCCCGGCATACATGCTCTCCAGCATGCTACAGGGAGAACAGTCCCCCTGTTTTAGAGAGGGACAGAAAGTTTGGAGAGGAGCAAAGAACTGCATTAGGTTCTCGTGTTGTGGGCAAACCTCATCACTGCTCTCCTCTACTCCTTGATCCATCACCAGGAGCCATCTATGGAGCTGTATGAGATAGAGGAGGAGGCTTTTCATTAGATCCATTGAGTGAGATTTTCTTCAAGACTCAAGCACCACGTAGAGATTAAGTTCAGGATGTGGTATAGGTGACCAGCCTCTAGGGGCAGGGTTCAGTCTCCTAAACCCAGAAATAAACATGGACACTACAGTGAGAGCTTGTAGACACCTCCGTTTATAAGGCTGAATGCAAGTCTTGAGGTGAATCCTGCCCTTGGTCATGCTACTGTGGTCAGTAGGGGACCTTCACTCTTTGGGCTGGCTCACATCCACATTTCTCTTCTCATATCTGTAAAAAGCTCAGTGTGTCCCCACTAATGTCCTTTTCAACCCCACTAGGGTTTTATCCAAGCCAAAGGCTATCCTTCATCCACCAACATTGAAGTGATCAATGATGGAGCAGAGTCAGCCATGTTTAAACAGCTCTTCCAGAGGTGGACAGAAAAGGATGAAACACAAGGGTTGGGCAAAGCCTACACTACTGGCAAAATTGGTGAGCATGTTTCTCCTGGATTTGGCTTTCCTACCTGTGCTAAGCAACAGCTGAGGGAACATCATTCACATTAACCGTCTCCTGCCTTCAGCATCTTGAAACTCTAGTGCACATTCTTCTCAAGCCTCGTATTTTTCACGTTCTTCTGTAGATGCAAAGTATTCAGGAACTGAACTATGTTCAGAACTGCTGAAGTTTCTCATACAAACCTAACTGCCACTTATTCCAAATGTAAATATCGGCAGAAGATCACTCTCATCTGAAAATTTGTATGCAAAAATTGACACTCTCAGAACTCCCTAATTTTCTTCATAAAGGGCTAATGAAGAACCTGATAAGGAAGTGTTGAACACCATTCTTCTTTCATTTACACTGGCATCCACCCAAGACCCTCCTGACGTCAGTGGAATTATTCTGTATTTACACTGATGTGAACAGTGCCTCGATTTATCACACTGCTGAAGTGAATATTGCAATGCATTAATCCCAAAGAGTAAACAATACTGAAGAGACATAACTTGGTGGTGAATGGTGGGATGGTGACAGAAATGCTCAATGTCTCCAACAATAATAGCTTCAGGGCTGCAAATCTCTTTCACTTGCAAGTTCTTTCTTTCTCTCCACCTGTGTCTGTGCTCTCTTTCTCTCCTCCTGTGTCTCTCCATGCTGTCCATAAATGTGCTCTGTCTTTACCACGAGCTGGAGAAATGTAGCCATGTCATTTCTGAAAGCAGCATTTTAAAAGGAGGGCGATAGGTATGGATTTGGAAACCAATTATGACTTTTCAGTCAGGAGACAACTAACATTTTTACCAGCCAGTCATCACTGGAACGCACTATATGGCCCATTGCCAGCCTGTAACAGATCAGCGCTGGGGTGTATGAGGTCTTGCATATTCCAAAATCAATATTGGCTTACTGGTGGCAAGACTGGGTTCATGCAACCATGGACCAGGTTATAAAGATTGTGTATAAAGACTGTGTTAGTGCGTGAGGGTGATGCAGACGCTTTGTTCGTTACTGTGCATTCACTGGGTTCTTGTTTTTATTCTGCTGGTGCATGCAGCCAAGGTGGAGCAGGTGAAGTTTGACACCACTCAGCTCCACGCCAGACCAGAGCTAGCTGCTGAGCAGAGGATGGTAGATGATGCCTCCGGGGAGATTGAGGTGAGAGAGCTCCTTTTGCTGACAGAGGGTGCAATAATCAGCCTGTTTCCAAACTTCTCTGCCTTTTTTTTACACAGCAGCTGTATGGAGCTGTGAAGGTGTGCCCACCTACCCTCCCCAAGGAAGGATGGCTGCAGCCAGAGCAAACTGCTTGCAAACTCTAATTCACGCGGCAGTTGCATTTCTCCTCCAACCCATGACCAGTGGAGCAAAGCAGTCACCAAGCTGACTCCTCTCCTGCCATATGTGTGGTTCATGAGGCTGATACAGTCAACTCCCTTCTCACACTGTCTCCCAGTTAGGTCCCTATCAACCAAGCTTGCAGAGAGCAGAGGCCCCTCTCCCATTCTTGTGGCCTCCCATGAAGCTGGTTGAGACAGGGGCTGTGGGACTGAGAGGGACCAGGAGGCTGCTCCTCTTGAGGGCCACTGACAGCAGAAGGGCTGTTAATGGTATATGTATTGTGGCAGTCACGGGAGAGACCTGACTTTGCCAGCAAGCACTTAATCAAGATGGAAGAACGCAGGCTGGCATCCAGAGGAGAGAGGAAGGGTTCTCTTTCCAACTGAAGAGACCTGAACTTCAGTGGTCTGCTGACAAAGGGGCTGTGCTCTGTCTTTACGTTGACTCCACTGCTGCTCACCAAAATGTTTCTTTCACTAGGTGTGGAGGATTGAGGACTTGCAAATGCAGCCAGTGAATCCCAAGACATATGGGCAGTTCTATGGGGGTGACTGCTACCTGGTCCTGTACACCTACCTGAGATCAGGCAGGCCTCACTACGTCCTCTACATGTGGCAGGTAGGTCAAACCAAGCAGAAAGGCCTGTGCTGTGTCTGCTGGAAGCCTGAAACTGAAGGAAGCAATTACATGCAAAAATCCCAACCCAAGCATCCAGAAGAACTCACATGCCCTTTGCTCATCAGTTGCCCATTGCAAATATCCCAAGCTGTGCTTTGTAGGCAGCATGGACTCTCTGAGCCCAATCTGTCATCAGACTGAGAGCCAGCAATTTCAGACAGAAATGGTGAAGGATGATGGGGCTTACAGCGCTGAGGTCAAACTTTGCAGTCTTCCAGATCTTCCCTTAAAGCCTCAGCTCCTGGAGTCATTCGAGCACATGGATATCTCTGCCTTCCTTTTTAAAGTATATTTACCTGCCCTGAATGCAGAGAAAAGCTTTGAAAATGGGATGCTAAAGTCTCCAAAACCAGAATGCAAGGGAATTTTAAACATCTGGCACTTTTAATTCTGATCTCACAATATGCAGGGCTTGGGGTTGGCAAGATGTTACACTGTGCAGAGCTTTATACCCTTGATCTCATCACGTTGCATGTCATGTCTCTCCCTCCCCCAGGGTCGCCATGCCTCTGTGGATGAAATCACCGCCTGTGCCCTCAATGCCATTGAGCTGGACAAGAAGCATGGGGATGAGGCCGTGCAGGTGCGCGTGACAATGGGCAAGGAGCCCACACACTTTCTGGCCATCTTCAAGGGCAAGCTGATCATTTACGAGGTAACGTGGCTTTGTGTGTGTGGGCAATGGAAGGTGCGAGCACCAACGATGGCTTGGCAGTTGCAATGGAAATAGTCCAGAAAAAAGGGCTGATATTGAGGAAAGGAGCCTGCCAGGTCTGCATGAGCTGGCAGATGGAAGTGGTGGAACATTTCTACTGCTTCCCAAGTAGTCTGAACACCATATGTGTAAACACAGTCCTGGACTGACCCATACTCCGCTGTCTACCCCTGAGCTTCAGCATTAATATGTGATGTTCTTTCCAGCTTCTATCCCAAAATATTTTGCAGAGTTACTGTAAGACAATCGTCCTGGGAATTACAGATGCCACTATCCAGAAACGGTCCTCCAAAATATCCTATAAACAGTTACATGATTTGAATTGTCCCTGCCTGAATTATATCACGTTGACTACTAACCCACTTCACTTGCTGCTTTGGCTGCCACCATCTGTGGTGGAGACATTGCAAATGGCTGAGGAAGAGGGGGATTGCCCTCAGTTCTCAGTGTTGGTCCCACCATATGGCTTCCATGGCAGATGTTCAGCTAAGCCAAGCACAACTGGAAATCAGAGTCCGGCTGCCTTGCCCAGGTTACATGGCAAATGCTTTGCAGACAGTAAGATCTGCTCACACTGAATGTGGGCATCTTGATGGGAGCTGGTCAAGACTCAGAGAAATCAGGGAGAAATGTGGAAGTTATGCCATGTAGGTTTTATTCTGACCTGGAACCAGAAGGTATTTGGATTTCCTCACCTGCTTTGTACAGGACCATGGCCCATTGTTGCAGCAGTGTGGAAGGTTGTGACCCCAAGAACCTTCCCCCTCAAACCAGTTGCACCCTGGATTTGAATGCCCTGTTTACCTCCCAAAACCATCCTTCCCTCTGTTCCTTGCAGGGCGGCACAAGCCGGGCTCAGAAAAGCACGCCCGAGCCAGCGATCCGCCTCTTCCAGGTGAGGGGCACAGATGAGATGAACACAAAGGCCACGGAGGTGCCGGCCCGGGCCTCCTCCTTTACCCCCAATGACGTCTCCCTGCTAACGCCCAGCCAAGTCTGCTACCTGTGGTGTGGGAAGGTGAGAAATCGCTGATGTGAGGCTTCAGTCTCCTACCTCCACTGAGCTGTGGAGGTGTATCCTTGGGCATGTAGACCATTAATTTCAATGGAGGAAGGTGCACCCAGCAGAGGGCCTTATCTGTGGAGGATTAGCAGTAACACAGCCCTCTCAATATAGAAGTAACCCAACTGGGGCTTCACCTCACATCATTTTAGAGGTTCGTATGACTTTCAGCTGAATAAAGCACCCCAGGTTCTCCAACTGTAAGAAATTAGCCAGGATTAGAGCATATTCATTTATCCTTTTAGTGATCTGCTTCAGGATGAGATGGTAGATCAAACCAAAGCAGAAGGGTTGCCTGGATTTGTGGATGCCCCATCACTGGAAGTTTTCAAAGTCGGGTTGGACAAGGCTTTGAGTAACCTGATCTAGTAAAAGGGGTCCCTGCCCATGGCAGGGGGCTTGGACTAGATGATCTTTAAAGGTCCCTTCCAACCCAAAACAATCCATGATTCTGTGAGTTGTGCCTTAGATGCCAATGGCTGCACTAAGTGTCCCTTCAGGAACTAGAAATGGATTCTGAGTGACCAGCTCAGATGAGACCCTCAAAGGCATTCAAGCAGGTCTAAAACTTTCAAAAGGAGGGCATGGCCAAGCCAGTTCTCACCCCCATTCCCCCTCCCCCCCCCCATAAGTTTTGCCAGTCTACCCCTAACTCCACCTCAATTTTATGTCCTTAACACAGGGATGCAGTGGAGATGAGAGGGAGATGGCAAAGATGGTAGCTGACATCGTCTCCAAACGGGACAAGCACACCATTTTGGAGGGACAAGAGCCAGCAGAATTCTGGGAAGCCTTGGGAGGCAAAGCACCTTACGCCAGTGAAAAGAGGTAATAGTGACCTGCTTGCTCCTTTGGTCTTCACCAGGCACCATCAAGCAAGGGATCAAAACTTTGCAGGGAAATGAGTAAGCACTTTGATACCATGTCCTCACCAAAGGGAGCATTAGGCCAGAATATCATCAAAAGCTTGGTTAGAAACCACACCAAGATGTCTCTTTCTTAGCTTTTGTGTGAGACCTTCTGAAGTAGGAGCTGCAGATGGAAAAATCTAGACAAGGGTGTGCTACATCCTCTTTTCCCCACAGTAAATCCATCCCATACCTTGTAAGGACTACATGAATCACATGCTCCGTTTCAAGCCATTATTATTTACGGGCAGCCCCAGAAGATTCATGAAACTAAAACTGCTTTTGAACAGCCTGGTTTTCTCCAGCCCTCTGGGCAGGTGATGTGTTCCTTTGCAACGAAGTGATAATGATGTGGCTTTCACCTGACAGCAGGCTCATCTCCACAAGGAAAGAAGGGTTCTGCTTTTGCCCTCTTTAAGTGGGGAAGAAGTTACCTTTAAAAATTCTTAAAATGACCCAAGAATCCCCTGAGACCTGACATTGCCTGATTTTCAGGCACTCAGATGACCATTGCCATTTTCCCACCTCTTCCATCAAGGTCATGGCAAGTAGGAGCAGGGCCCTGCTGTAAACCACAAGGGGAAGGTTTCCATCTCTCTTGCTTTTTCTTTCCCTGCCATGCATGAGGAAGGTTTCAAGAGCAGGTCACGCACTACCAGCCTCGCCTCTTTGAGTGCTCCAACCAGACGGGTCGATTCATCATGACAGAGGTGGTGGGATTCTGCCAGGAAGACTTGGACGAAGATGACGTCATGCTGCTAGACACATGGGAAGAGGTCAGCACTGACTCCTCCTCCTCTTCCACCCAGACATATTTTCAAACTGGTTATGGCTTAATTTGTTTTAATCCGTCATTCAATGTGAAACCAAGGGCAGTATACCTTCTGTCCCATCTCCAAACCCTTCACTGTGCTAGGTCAGACAAGCAGGTGTATGTCCAGTCCTGCTCACCAGGTACAAAACACGTGAGTGAGGAGGTATTGCTATCCCTATTTCAGAAAGGAGGGAACAGAGGCACCTGGTCCATGCCGTGCTTCAAGGTAAGATGAGCTGGACCTGCTCCAGTCTTTGCCAGCTCATCCAAGGGGGTGGCACCCAGAAACCCTACCCCTCATTTCCCAGCGCCAATGGTGAGGACTTGCTTGGAAACTGACTCCAAGGGGTTTGCTTTCTGAGGCCATTTGATTTTTTGGCCATGCAAGGACTGAGTTTAGCTACCTTGAAGCATGTGAGAGCTGTTTTCTGAAATATTCATACTTTAGGCCCGTCTCAAAAGCAAAATCCTTCTTGACTGGGGAGGAAATCTGGGATCAAAATCCCAGGGGACTGCTGGGAAACAACAATTCCTGTCTTATCTCTGCTTCACTTGGCAGGGCTGAATAAACAGCCATGCTCGCGCAGGTCCTGACTACTCACCAATCTTCAATACCACCTCTCCTTGCAGATTTTCCTTTGGGTTGGCAAAGCCTCCAACACGTATGAGAGGAACGAGGCAGTTGCCTCGGCTAAGGAGTATCTCAAGACCCATCCGGCAGGGAGAGACTTGGCAACTCCGATAATACTGGTGAAGCAGGGCTATGAACCCCTCAACTTCACAGGGTGGTTCAACGCTTGGGACCCCTACAAATGGAGCGTAAGTTGCTGGAAAAGCCCTGTGGTGTGTACGCGTGCTTGGTGATACTTAAAGGGTGTTCTTGTCAGCAAGCCACATCCTCTATGGTGCATGGAGGGAAACCTTGCAATGACATGTCCTGAGCCTCACAGCTTCCTGGTGCTACCTGAGCAGCTTCTGATCCTTTGCCAGCAAAAAGTGCTTGTTTGGTGAAACGGATGCTTTTGCGTATATAAGTAAATGTGCTTTAGTTCACAATATTCACATTTTTATTTTAAAAAAAGATTAGGTTCCACGTCAGGTTTGTTATTTCAGTTGAAAATGAGTTGGGGCTTCTAGCAGTAAAATCCAGTTCAGAGTGGCAACAGAAGCACCCCACATCATTAAAAAAAAATGAAAAAAAAGGTTAATTTTTCAAAATACAGCCACAGAGAAAAATTTATGACCCAACTTTTAGAGCAAACTCTGGTGAAATAAAAGATGCGAGCAGACAGGTCTCGTCTCCAGGTTTGCAGAATGCCCATCAGAGCCCAGGAGCTCCTGAGCAAGGTCACCCTTGGTCCCTACATACAAGCCTTCTTCTCAAAAGCTGATTTACAAATACCAGAATGTCACTATATAGAATTGGAAACCTGCCCAGGGAGATGCCTGGGAAAGAAAAAAGTCCTTTCTCTCCTCTTTCAAACACACAGGCTTCAAACCATTTCAGGAATATAATGTGGAGCAGAGATTTGCTTGTGTGGCCAGTGCATGGGGACTCACAACGTGTGGTCAGGACACACATGGTCATGCACAGCGTGGTTGGATGGAGGAAGCAGCAATGCACTTAACTCCATGCAGACCATGGACCAGCTGGTCCAGCCAGCCTGGAGGCTCAGTGCTGCAGCACAGAGTGTATTTAGGAACAAAGGACAATCCTGGAGGGGCTTTGGTGGTTGATAGAGCCAGAGTACCAGTTCATAGCAAACAGCCAGGTGGAAGCAATGCTGTGCACCTAAATTCCTGCCACCCGATGGCACTGGTGGGCATGGTTTAACAAAAAAAAAAAAAAAAAAAAAAAAAAAAAAAAAAAAAAAGGAGGAAAGAAAGATGATGGGCATCTGGGAAAAACTCAGCTCCCAGGTGGTGTTTTAGCAGACTCTTCCCCAGTGAGATGGTCCCTTCTATGAACAACAGTGTTCAGCCAGTTCACAAGCAATCCTGTCTTCTTGTTGCCCAGAGGGCTGTCAGTGAAGTCCCATGCTGAGCCTGCAGGTGGGACAACTGGGACAATAGGGTGAAGGTCCCCCAGGGAAATTCACACTGCAGGGAATCTCATACAGAGATTTTTTATTTTTTTTTTGCCTGTAGCTGGGTTTGCATCGTCTTTCTTTGCAACTGGTGCACTGGTAGAAAGCCTGTCTTGACAGCCGGATTTGGACAGATGAGACAGCAAGAGTCAGCAACTCCCAGAGCTCTGACCCTTAAACCAATGTTGATGCTTAGAACGAAGGTCAAAACTTGTTTTTTTTTTTTTTTCTGAGGAACTGCTGAAAAACAAGGATACAGCTCATAAAATATGTGCCTCCAAAAATATCCCCTGCAGGCAGCTTCAGCAACTACAGAAAAGCAATCCAAACTGTTGACATCCCAGAAACATCTGGTGTGTGTGTGTTCATTGCTCAGTTTTGGGTCTAAATCTGTTTGCTCTGCAGTCCATGTGTTTATGTTGTTTGTTCTTGTTGGGGAACTTTGTCGGATGATTCCGTTAAGAACTGACATCTCCTGGCTGCTTAGGAAAACACAGTCATCAGCTTTGCCAATATACCTAATATATTTATTTTTTTTTTAGGAAATAAGAGGTAACTGGCAATACGTAGCACCAAATTACAAGAATTCAGGGATCGAGGCTTTGAAAAATCTGTTGCATTAGCTAAATGAATCAGGGAAGGGAAAAAAAGGAATATAAGTTTATCCCAAATTTTCATGCTCTGCAAGATTCATTTAAAATTTAAAAGCTTTAAATGCAGCAGTAAATATGATTTCTCCTTCTTTGCCTTCTGCTCTCTGAAGTCTTTAAATTTCCTGTTTTCATCTGTTATTGTACAACTGCAAAGGGTAAAGTCCATTTGTTTCTTTGTTTTCGAGTGAAAGCTCTGATTCTGCCACAGTCTCCTGATTCCAGGAGCTGGGGATTGCAGGAGGCACCAGCTGCCACCTCAAAGGGCACCACTGGGCTTTAAAATTTGTATGATCTCCTGACCCCGTTAGAGAATGCGCTAATTAAAGGCGGCCTGTGGTTCTTAAACTCTCTTTACCTTTAGGATGGCAAGTCCTATGAGGAGATGAAGAATAGCTTGGGAGACGTGTTGGCTATATCCGAGATCAAAGTGGTGAGTTGCTCCTCGACCACATGGGTGGGAAACACCTGGGTTTAAACACCACCGCGTCCCCCAGCCTGTTCGCATGAGGGAGAGGACATCATGATCAGAGCAGGCATGGAGACCTCAGCCTGCCAGGATCAGGGATGTGATTAATAACCCATAAATACACCCAGATCTCCTGAGCCTTTTCCAGTCCTGTGCAGTGGTACCTGTGAGACGAAGACTGGCCGGGTGCTTTCTAAACAACACATGCGAACAAAAGTATGTGCAGCGATAAGAGGGCGCAGTTAAGCGTTGTATGAGTAGTTTGCAGTGCGGTGGCTCCTGAGACCCTGGACAAGGGGCCCCTGGTCAAGAAGGACACAGCCCAATGGGGGTCCTACAAAGCACAGAGGAAACAAGGTGCCATCAGTCCCAAATGTGATGGTCCCACGGGGTCAGTTCTGCCCTGAACAGGGGCAAGAGGAAGGCTGGAAGGAAGTGGCAGGGGCTTTGAACCAGGAGAGATGGCAAGTCGGGGAGGGGTGCACAGGTAATTTAGACATTTTAGACATGGCAGATATCTAATCTCACCTTCTGTCCTCCCTCATGTACCTTCCCCTGTTGTTATCTTGAGAAAAGTGAGACTACTGTAAGTATTTTCAGTTATTTCTGAGGCCTCTCATCACTGCTGTGCTTTTAGCAGGCCTAACATCAAGATGTGACATTGATGGAGGTGCTGGACTAATGTTAGTTTGGACTTTCTCCTTGCCGCTTTGGAGCCACAGCCCAACAGATAGTATGGGCCAGAAACAGTTCCCCCACCCCCAACAAAGAGAAAGATCTTGGGATAACCCCCAGGTTGCTCTGCCAGAGCTTCTTGCCTTGACATGCTTTCCTCCGTTTGGCAGGACCTTAACAACATCAGCCTGAACAAGAGAACCCTCAGCATGACCAACTTGACTGGTTCAAGTATGGCAAGTGCTTCCCCAGAGTGTAAATCACACTTCAACCACAGTGACAGCAACAGCTACAGCAACAGCAGCAACTACAACAGCAACAGCAGCCCTTGCCTGGTGCCCAACGGTGAAGGAGTTTACTCACGAGAGGTGCTGATGAATAAGACGGTGGATGAACTCCCAGAAGGCGTGGATCCCACTAAAAAAGAGGTGGCAGCATTGCTGGTTTGATGTCTTTGTAGCTTAACCTGGAACTTAGTCATTGGCTAAGTGCATTAGTACTTTAGACTGTTAAGTCCTGCTTCAGGCTCAAGGAGATAACTAGCTGGACACATGGCTCTCATGAAAAAGTGGGAGCTTCAAGTGAGAGGAAGTTGTGGTAGTTTTACCCTAGTTGAAGTGTTTATTTTTTTTATGGCAGTAATATGAATTTTAAATAGTCATTTTTAATTATCATTTTTTTTCTTCTGGTAGAGTTGTTTTACTCTGCCACCCAACCTCTGTCCTTGGAGGGACAGAGAACCAAAAATACGGTTCCTGCAAGACAAGGTGACGCAGCTGAGAACAAAGACAAGATTTGCATTTTGTTGCAGTGTGGGTGGGTTTTTTTCATTTGAAACTCCTTCCAGAAGGGATCTTTTACTTTTGGGGGGGTTTGGTTTTGTTTTTTTTTGTCAGAAAGCTTGCATTTCACCAGATCCCATCCAGGGACAGGGAGGAATGCCACGTCTCAGATTTCTGATCAGCCCAAGGATTTTGGCAACGTCTGCAGCTCAGTCCAAGCAAGCCAAGGGGGGGCCGGGGACAGGAGGCTGATTCCCTCTACTCTCTGCAACCCAAGTTTGACCAATTTCTTGCCCCAACAGATGTCCTGGCAGAGGGCAACCCCCACAGCCAGAGAGCTGCTCCACAGCCAGGCCAGCAGCTCTGCGCCCCGGCAATGCCCCTGTGCTAACGGTTGTATTTCAGCTGGGTTGTACATGAGTGCTTTCTTCTACTCAAAATACCAGGGAAAACTCAACCTTCATTGCCCACGGGGTCTTTCTCAGTATCACTGATGAGCCCACTATCTACAAAGATTTCTGTCTTTCAAGTCCAGTGGGGAACTGAGTGAAAGGGAGATTCCCTGTGAATCACTACCTAAGAAACCACCCAAAACTTCGGCCAGCAGAACTTCTCTGATGCACCATTAATTGTCCTGGCCTCAGTATGATTAGTGGAGACCAAATTCCAGCCAGAGCATGCTAACCCCTCAAAACCAGAGCATCCCTTTGGGCTGAAGGGCTTTTATTCCCTTGGTTCTTTGGGAAGCAGGATGAGGAACAGTTGCTGGGACATTCCGCTTCCCACCATGAGGACAGGCAGCGGGACAGGAGTTGGTGGCCTGGAGTCAGGGGTCAGCACTGGCACAGAGAGGAAGGGATGTAGGTGATGGAGGTGTCCCAGCCTCTGCAAAAGCCAAAGCTGACTTCTCCTTTCTCTCTCCTCCCACTGCACAGTACTATCTCTCTGATGCCGATTTCCATGATATCTTTGGGAAGTCCAAGGATGAGTTCTACCAGATGCCCAAATGGAAGCAGCAGAATGAGAAGAAGCAATGTGGACTATTCTGAGACTGCAGGGGCCATCTGGCATCCAGTGACTCTGGGACCAACCCTTGCTCTCTGCGAGGAGCTGCGGGGAAGAAGTACAGACATTTGCTCAATGACCCCAACCCAACATCTCAATCAGGCCAAGCTCCAACACAGTTATTCCAGCAGCCACTGTTCAGGGGATGACTCCTTTCTGCCTGCAAACCCTGAACCCAAGGAGGCAAAACCTTTTGCAGGAACGGCTCTGCGGGATGTTTTTGCCTCTTTTTGACACTTTATTGCTGATAGCCATGAAGACAAGTGTGTGTCACCCAACCATATTGTAGCCTCTTCTTTCCTCTCCCTTTTGCAAATTGCCACGGGCACAATGACATGATCTTCCTTCATCTGTAGAAGTTTAAAAGTAGGCCAGACAAAGGCCACTTGCAGCTGCTGTGTAAATTCTGGGTGGGGAGAGGAGGGGGAAGCCATAGGAGGACAGAGGGGGAGCCCTTGAGTTCAGGAAAAAGGTAATGGAGTAGCCAGATGTGTGATGGGGTAGCCCATGGGGTAAGACCAGCCAGTTCAACCCCTTCTCACCTTGCAAAAAAGCTTCCCATCAAAGAATAGCAAGAATCAGTTGTAGACTAACATGCATAGCCCAGCGCAGGTAAAACAAATGAGAACCTGGCTTGGAAAAAACCCCACTTATTTGGAACATATTTATTAGCTGATCTATTTCAAGAGGATGATGAGATTTAGGGTTGCACACAGCTGTTGATTTTTGACTGCCAGACAAGACTCTTTCTACTTTTTTCTTGTTCAGGCAGCATCTCTGATCTCACCCAGCTTCCCTGAGCACAACTGGGTGCAGGTGAACGTAAGAGTCCACCTGCCTGCAGACCAGAGACTTGAGGAAGCCAGAAGGGCTTTGGGTATGACTTGAGACAGAGTGTGTCCTACTGAAGGTTTTATCAGGGCTCCATCCCTGTGATGTCCATGGGGCTGAGACCACCCATATCTACACTGTGAGCTCGGTCTGATTGCGGAGGGGGAAATGTGAGCACTCAGTGGCTAAGGGATACAACTGTAAACTAAAGGAAGAAAGACGTATGTTTAAAAACTCAGAAGATGTGGTTTTGCAGCTTTACTCCATTTCCAGCCTGACCAGTGATTCCAAATAAACAGCCAACAACACCACTCTAAGTGTCCTTGATCAGCATGTGAGGTAGGACGGCAGTAGCAAAAAGCTCCACAGGGCCACAGATCCTCCAAACACCTGGTCTTTAATGAGCTTTGGGATTTTTTTTTTAAAAGAAAAGAACAAACTGATAAGGTGGGGCCCCCTCTGTTCCCAAACACCACATAGCCAGGACCGTTTGTCTCCCCATGCCCGTGCTCCTGAAGCCCCTCATTGCCCGTGGTGGGTACTTGGCCATTCAGCAGTTGACCTGACTGCCCACCCCTGGGGCAGGGAGGTGGGGATGGAGCTGCAGGCAGCTGATAGATGAGGAGTGAAGAGCTCTCACGCAACATGCAGTAGTGGTAAAGTGTCACCATCTGTCTGGGCTGGAAGCAGGTGATGGGGTCTTCTGGACAGATCTTTGTGTTTAAGAATTGGTAGTTACTTCACATAAGCCACAACCCTGTCATTGCCTCCACGAGCCTGCCACCACTTCATCCCGTTTCTGCTTGAGGGTCCAGCCCAAAACCCATTGAACCCCCTTGTGCAGAATAAGGTAAGAGTCAAGCAGAGACACAAATCAGCTGAATTACCTGCCTGATTGCTCCTGTTGTGTTCACGCTGGATACAATCAGTGCACATTATCCCTCTTTCAGCCTCTATTGCCGCTGCTGGAAGCAACAATATTTGCATCGCCCCGCTGCGGCACACTCCTGCCAGCTCCCAAATTAACGAATTGCATGTGCTCCTCAATAAAAATGCAGCAATGCCACCTATCAGCCCTGACTGTGGGCCTAACGAGCACCATGGAATCAAGCGGAGACTAGCAGAAATACAGTCGGATTAGGGAGATTAGGCTGGTTTGCTACAAATTGCTTTGATTCCTGTTGCCACAATGCTCACCAACACATGAGCAGAGCACTCCGGTATGGGATTTTTTACAGATAATAGATCCCTCTGATATCTGGGCCTGTTGGACACTGCTGCTGCTCTCTTCTTCTCATGGGTAGAGTTGGTTTTACTCTCTGTCTCTGATTTCTAAAGGAAAGCTGCTCACCCACATCCTCCCTTTTGTGTCACTTGCCACTTTCACTGCAGTGCCTGGTGGGCCATGTCCTACTTCTGATGCTCTTTTCACCAGAGCTGTTCCCTACAGTGGGGCTTCAGAACTTCCTAATCTGCTCAGAGATGAGATCCCTTGATAATGGCATGGACCATGTCCCTTCCTTTGGGGAGAGACGACACCTTGCAGCATTGTCCATAATGCTCTGGTCCACCCCATCTCCATCTCAGCTACTTTCCCACCTGGCTCCAGTAGTTTTCCCCCAACTCTTCTACCTGATGAGGGATGTTTTCTCTTCCCATGGATCTTGCCTACCTTTATTTAAGCATACAACATGCAGAGGAAACCCTGGCTTTTCTGTGTAGTCCATCTAAGCCCACCCTGGCCCTGGATAGTGTGGTCCTGACCTGACATCTCTCCCCATTCCCCGTCCCCGACTTCTCTAGTGCTGGCCACAGCAGGGAGGTGAGGGCTGGTTTAGCTCAATAAGCCAACTGAAATCTAATCCTGCAACACCAAAAAAGTGAGTAATTTGTTCTTGGCCAACTCAGCAGGCTGATCCATCACAGAATCACAGAATGGTAGGGGTTGGAAGTGACCTCTGGAGATCATCTAGTCCAACACCCTCTGCCAGAGTAGGGTCACCTACAACAGGTTGCACAGGATGGCATCCAGGCAAGTTTTGAATGTCTCCAGAGTTGGAGACATATCTCGCCCCACAAGAGGTGGTGCTGACATGAGCAAGGCGGCAGAAATGCCTCTGATCATGCCTGCTCTCAGGCCACCTGGTGCAAGCTCCCTGTGTAGTACAGGGCAGTCCTGGGTATCCTTCATTCATGCTTTTTATCCCATGGCTCCTTAAAACAAAATGCTCAGAGCATCCTGGGACAGAACGCAGGCTGTCCCTGAATTGGAGTCAAGGATGTTCCGGCTTCGGCCTTCAAATGTGTCTCCTGATACAACAAGCCCCATCCCAGAGGTGAGCTGAGAGAGAGCCCATGACACTGCAAGACACCCTGCTCAGCCTCGGTGGCCTCTGCCACCCTGGAACTCTTTCAACCGCTGGCTGTTAATTCAATATAAGCCTTTGAGTAGTGGATATACTTCACATTTAATTGGCAATGGTTTACAACATCCCACAATATTGTAATGAAGAAGAAAAATCAATGTGTCCAGCAATGATTACTGCAGCATAACAAACTCCAGATAGGACTAAGTGAAATCCAGTTTTGCAGCAGACTAAAGAATCACTAAATCCAGGCTATTTTGGACTCAAAAATAGGTGGGGGAGTGAGTGGACTGGAATTTACTTAAAAGGACATTAACCTCTCTGGTAGAAGCCCATCCTCTACACCACCAGGCATGAAAAATCCCAGAAAGACTGACAGCTTTAAGAAATAAAGCATGTCTATCTCCAACTTCATGTGTGTTGCATTCAAGTAAGACAAAGAGGCAAATAGTGACAAGGAATTAGACTTTTTCAGTTTTTTTTACTTTTAACAGTCTAACATATTGTTAGTAACATAGTTTACACTTCAAAATATATATTATTTTATTTCAACAATATTCCCTTAACTCTGTAGTTGTACTTGAAGAAAAATCACCTTTTGCCATAAATACTGTTGCTGTTCAAAACACTCTTGTCTGTTTGTGCTCGGTTACCTCTGCAGTGCAACTGGGACCAGGCTAACATTTACAACAGCTTCTACTGCCGCTTCCTCTGTGTTAAAAAATTAGGTTTTTCTATAAAAACACAAACAAAGAAAGTTTTACCGCATTAAAAAAAAAAATTCTTACTGTCAGTTGAGTGTATTTCCACTGTCATCGGCAAAAGACATTCTCTGAAGTCCCTTTGAGTGGGTTTCACTTTGGGTTAGAGGGAAATCTGCCGTTCGGCAGCTTCTTTCTCCTTCACAGGATGAGAGCCAGGCTTCGAATGCAAAGCGACCTGGCTGAGAGCCAGGCACACAGGCAGAGTAGTGTTCATGTATTTTTTATTATAATACAAAAGGAAAGTCGAGTTATATAACATGGGCCTTTGTAGTGCAGCTTTCTTTTTTAATCTGTAACAGAAAAGAGAATTGTGTCCCCATTTAAGACTTCAGGTGGTGAAAGAGGGCTGACATCTGAAGTTGCAAGAAATGGCCTGGCGTCTGGCCACTGATTTCAGCCGTGGGGTGGATTTTTTTCTTGCACAGATGTTGGGTGTTTTGTCCAGATGCCTGACCGAACCCAACCCAAGAGTTGTACTTTGCTAAAAAGGTGCCCCTATCCTCTCGCTAGAAGCAGAATTAAAAAATCCCACTAAGTAAAGTGAACTAAAAACACAGCTGGATTGCTCGAACTGGTACAAAAGGATCAATCTCAACAGCAGCATTAGGATGTTTCCAGCACGCAGATTGGAGGTCAATGGCTATTTCACATCAGGGTCCTACGGAGCACCGTGTGCTGCTCCAGAGAAGGCACTGGGGGTTTGAGGGGACCCTGACATTGGCAGACTTCACACGCTGAATTCCTTCTCGGTCTGTAACGAGGTTCACTGTGCCCTGAAAGAGCTGAGCTGCTAATCACAGTCCTGGATATCGATGTACACAAAGAGGGTGGAGGAGGAGTAGGGGTCTCCATTCTTGGTCAGAAGATGGATATGGCGGTAACCTGGAAGCAGAGACACAGATGGAAAGTGGCCTTTAGTCCAGTTGGAAAAATATTTGCTGACATTTGCCAAGCACCTGCAAAAACATCTCCCTGTCTTGGAGCATTTCCTCCCAGTACTCCACAGAACAGGTAGGTCTGAGACTCATGGCTTTGAGCATTGGTAACATACCGTGCCTAAGACAACTGGTGACAAGGGGATCCCTTCACCAGAAACAGAGTTAACAGCTGCCCAATAAACCATTTATCATCTTGCCCATACCCCAGAGAGAGGACCTGTTCTGACCCGCGGTGTGCTGGATCTGGACCACTCATCTAGGACACTGGAGCTTCCCAAAGGGCCCAGTAGCTGTGAAGAACAGGGAGCAGGGCCTTACCTTGCTTCAGACTAGTGAAGGGGAGGGTGTACTGCCCGATGAAGTCATTCTTGGTTGACATGTCAAAGTCTTCCACCACAAACCGGACTAGGGCAAGTTCAGGGATCTCTATGTCAAATGTAAACTCTTCATCCCATTTTGGGTTAAAGCCTGGGCGACATAGACAAGGAAGGAGATCAGAGCTGCTTACAAACAGGGAAGGAAGCAAGAGATGCTCACAAGCAAGGATGGAGGTCAGAGATGCTTGCAAATGCACGGAGACTTTGCCTGACTGCCAACCTAACCTGACCCAGGTCAAAAGTCTCACGAGGTGCTGAGACCATTGTTCCCAGCTCTGACACTGGTTTGCCTCCTGGTATCGATGAATCCTTCAGCTTAGGCTGCTCATTGCAGAACTCAGCATCAGCCTCCCAGAAGGCAGCGAGGAGCAGGAGGGAGGTAAACTCAGCTCTGCTCCACAGGCTCTCTCTGGCTGATACATGGATATCTCTGGTTGCCGTTGGACCAGCTGCAAATTTTTACCAGAGGGGAGCAGAGAGGAAAGCTGTGCCATTGTGTTGTGACAGCCTTCTGGGGCCTCAAGCCTCACTGAGTGCTTGAGATACACCCATGTGTACACCACTCTGTGCCTCAGTTTCCCTGTCTGCAAGGAAGGTTAATGAGGAGTATCTGATTACAAAAAGCATCATCAAGTCTGTGGAAAAAATGGTTTATGTCTCCCTGTATAAGGGCAGTGTCTGAGACAGACAGACTAACCCCACTTCTGTTATGGATAAGGATATCGTGATCCGGACTCGCAAAGCAAACAAAACCCAGACCATCCCATCAGGCGAGAGGTGAAGAGGAAGCTCAGTGCTCTCTCATGGCGGGCACTCTCAGCAGTTTCAATAAACCACTCCCCAGAAACAAACAGGAGGAGAGGACATCCTGTTATAAATGCTGCTGCCATCGGCCCAGCCTGTGCAGAGCAGAAGCCCAAGGACAGCAAAACGTCAGCTGAAGCCTGCTGGTCATGGGGGGCCTGCAGACAATTTGTCAGGAGGCAGGGTGCTGAGATGGGCCTGCGAACACTGCCATTGCAAAATATCTGTGTTGGGCTGGTGCGCTTTAATTGGACTTTCATAGGATTAAATCAACTGGACCGTTCAGATAACACATATCTGTTCAAGCTTCCCCTTTTTGGGGGGAAAGAACCCAGTGTTGCTGATCCCACGGGAGCAGAAATCATTAAAGTTGAGCGAAAGCCTTCAGCCCTAGGACAGTAAGTTTCACTGCACTGACATCTGTGGGGAGTTTTCGACTTATCTCAGAGCCGTAGTGAGATGCTCAGAGCTTCTGAGTCAGCAGGTTCCCACAGCCTCTCAAGCTCCACAGCTGCACCGCTGTGACCTGATCTGTACCTACAGCCACTGCTTCAGTCCCACCAACATGAAACCAGGTGAGCTGCTGAAGCACAGTCACGTATCTGAAAACTCAGCCCATGAAATGCAACCCCCTCTCTGCAGCTGCCCCTTTCCAATGCTGATATTTTCATAGTTTGATTCACTTTCCACCGGGCAACACTCCCTCCAGCATCGCTCCGGTATCCCTCCATCCAGCCAAGGACCAGCCGTGGGGCTGGGTGCACTGAGCAGCCCTGAGGAACAGGTCTGGCAGGTCTGAAACATTCCCTACGCAGATTTCACTCATTATAAAAATTATTGTAGGTGACGGAAATGGCCATGAGCTTTAGAAGCCACGCCAGATTTACTCAAACAGGAAAGAGGAAAAGGGAAACATTGTTAGCAGGGAGGAAAATATGCATTGGCTTTCTAGCACTTGGCTCTTACTTCATGCAGAAAAGCGGCGTGTGTGTGTGTGTGTGTGTGTGTATACCTGTGTGTTTGTCAGCGGGAGGGTGAGGACTGATTTCTCAGACTCCTACTGCCTCGTTACTCCCACAGGAGAGAGGGCTGAACCTGCCCTCTGCAAACTCAAAAGGCCACGATATTCCCTCACTGCACGGAGGGAAATCACAGCCATGTTTGATGGTTGAGAAAGGGTCCATGGGGAGGTGAAATGTCTGTGAGCTCTCCGAGTTCAGTGCTGGGTAAGGCTTGAGCCTGGCTTTTTGGAGAGGGGGGCTGATGGCTTTCACCCCTCACCTGTAACATTGCTGTGATGTGCGTTAATTTAGCACCAGTGCCATTTTGGCCAAGAGGATGAGCAGATGCAGTGTCCCTGCCTTGTGAGCAGGCTCTGAGCTACAGGAAATGTTCTCCTTTTGCACAGACTGTTATGTATGAGAAGAGGCTGAGAGAGGTCGTTATTCAACCCGAAGAAGGACATGGGGGTTATTATTGCCATCCTCCACTACCTCCTTACAGAGAAGATAGAGCCAGGCGCTTCTTACAGGTGCACAGCAAAAGCGTGATGCATAATGGGCACAAACTGCAATAGGGGAATTTCTGGTTAAGAATAGGGGTATCTTATTTTATCATGAGGTTATTCAAAGACTGGATCACTTGAGAGAGCCCAGAGAGTCTGGGGAATCTCCCTCTTTCCAGATATTCAAAATTCATCTGGGCAATACCCTGAGCAAATTGAGTTAACTTTGAGGTTGGTCCTGCTTTGGGCAGGGGCTGGAACAGACATCTCCAAAGTCCCTTGCAACCTCAACCTTTTGTGAGTTTGTGACACTTTCAGGATTAAATCAGCCTCACAAGAAGCCTTCTCTGGGAAGATTGTGTTGGGGACCCATGCATCTCAGGTCAAGACCAACTGCGTGGAGGTAAAGAGCACTTCCAAAGCTGTAGCTCTGCAAATTTGGCAGCCAGTCTCAAAACAACTCATACGGCTGATGTTTTATTTCAGGGAACTTCTGTGTCCAAACATCTTAGAGAGAGAAGAGAGGAAAGGACCCCTGAAAGTAATTCTCCACAGGGACATCAGTCTGTGGGGTTAGTCCATGCCACCAACAGTCTATAACCAGGGTCCCTGCACTGAAGTAGGCCAACAGCACCTTATGTATCTGCTTAGTGTGGGCAGGCTTGGGTGCACCTGGGCAGGTCTGGCCAGAGGGTTACTGCACACCCTGCTACATGAAACCACAGGGTTACTGCCCCATGAGAGCACAGCATGGAAGAAAACCCCTTACCATTGTTTTCAATGACTTTGGTCTGCTTTTTGTTGTTATCCTGTTGGACGCCGTGGATCTCTACCGTTACCTTCGGATCAACAATGGAGTTTTTGCTTTTGTTCACCTTGGGCAGCTGCTGACCAGAGATGATCTGTGGAGGAAACAGAGGAAGAGGTCAGGACATCATTACGAGAGGGGGCTCCCTGGCAAAATTCCTTCTCCATCTCCAGGAGAGAAGGACCTGTTGTCACAAGCTGGTGCTGGTCTTTCAGAGCCAGCGTTGTGACATCCTTCAGTTTAAGTTGTTATGAGCCAAAGCAGCCAATGAACATTGCTCCAGCCCAGCCAGCTGGAGAGGGGGCAGGCAACTTTGCTAACTGTTGCCACAGTGATCAGGTGATACTTGGAAACAACAGTGGTGACTCTTGACTGCATGTCTGCCTGCATCTTTCTGTAACGACAGTGAATATTGTCATTAGCTCTCCTACTGCTGAACATTAAACACGTGAGTAAGTCCCTGGAGGATGAGAGCCCATGCAGGACTGAAGCAGAGGTGCCAGCAATGGGAAGTGAGTAGGGTTAGGATAACATTGCCCAGGTGGGACCAGGAGAAAGAGAAGGTACAACCTACACCCCCCCCCGAAGGTGGATGCCACTGAGACATTTTCCGACTTCTATTCTTACTTTAAGCAGAAGCTTCTTCTTTGTCCCCCATGTTCCTTCTGTGATGGATTTTGGATTGAATTTGGTTTGTTCATCCCGGAGGAATTCCGGCTTTAAGACATACCCAGAAAACCCATTGTCCTGGAACCGACCCTGGTAGACATCCATTTCTGTGCCTGCTGTCTGGAAATTTAGGGCAACTGCAACATAAATAAATAAATTCAGTCACTTTCAGATAAATCAATGGGACCCTTTTTATACAAATTCTGTTCACATGAAATTGCACTTCATGGATGTAAACATTGGCTTTTCTGTGCTTCAAAGAGCAGTTAGAAACTCTGACCCTCACAGTTTGCTACCCCTGAAGAGTTCTTGCATTCATAGATGTCAGTGACAGAAGGAGCCATTACAGCCATCTCAGTTGTTCTCCTGCCTGCCACCGGGTCAAAAAGAATCCTGCATTGAACTTCTGTCACCTGGTTAGACAACTGCATCTTTTAGATAAACCTATTCATTTCTATGCTGAAGGAGTTATCTCCTGCAGTGAAGACAGCAAATCCTTCTCAGATTCTTTTCTGGCCACTTACCCTCATTATAAAACTTCCTTTCCAGCCCAGATATGCCTATTTCTATTTGCCATCCTGAGGACCACTGATGCCTTTGTTGGTTAGCCTAGAGAGCTCTTCACTGTATGAACTCCTCATGCAGGAGTACAGAAGCTGTGATCAAATCATCTCTTTATTGTCCCCTGCCCAAAATAGATCAAGCCTTACCAATGTCCTAACACCAGGCAGATTTCTTGTGTTCTTTCCAATTTGCCAGTGTCTTTTTAAAAGCGTTGATGTCAAATCTGGAAGCAGTCTCAGTGAACAGTCTCGTTAATATCACATAGGGAGCGCACATGGACCCCAGCACCTCCTCAGTACTCCATTGATTTCTCGAGGGTGATGTTAACCCCTTTAGCAACTTCTAAGACAGCTCTAGGAGAGACAGTAACTTATTCTTGTCCTGGGTTCTACATACCCTGTAATACTTGATGGCCAAAAGCATTTTAAGGGACTCCCCTGTTTTTCCACCTGCAAACAAGACTTTAATAACTGCAGTATACTGATTTTACTGGGAGCTGCAAGTAGTCTGGACTTCTGAAAAAAAAACCCCAACTTATTTTGGGTGCCCACAAACTGAATTCATGCCAGACAAGGCATGAGGGTCTGGCCTTAGTGTACCCTGAGGGACCTGATGTTGGGTCCCAAGGACTCTCCTGAGGCCAGACTCAATGCTGGGGAGACAGGACAATGGGTGGTACTTGTGCCCCTCGTGGGGACTGCAGCACCCAGCGAGTTCATACACTGCCAGGCACATCCACCCCATGTTGGTCTACACAGCTGGGGGCCAGGGAGCCCTGCATCTGCAGATTCTCTTGCTTGGCTGGGCCACATAGGCACAACTGGGACATCTCCAACATCCAGCATCACCAAGAGAGCCAAGCATGTCATCACCAGCCTTCCCACTTAGCACTGCACTGGGTTTTCTGGATGAAAGCTACAACATAATTCACTTAACAGGCTCCGAGACCCTTGATTTCACCAAATCTCTGAGACATCAATATCTCACCAGACGCCTCCACGCCCTGGGAGTAGGTATGATGCGCTGCTTTGACTACAGGGAGCAGCTCAGGCCACAGCTTGGACCTTACGGTTATGGCCTTGCTCTAGGGCTCAAGAGTTTGGTTTACATCTTTGCCAGAGATTTCAGCACGCTTTTTAGTAAAAGACTGTAACTCCTGGCTCCCTCCTCCTTTGTTAAATGGCAATAACTCAGCTTCCAGTGAAATTGCAGGGATGTGTACATTAATGTGCAGGGAAGGCTCTCCTAATGGTTTTGAGGTGGACCAGAAAATGGTCTATGAAAAGTGACTGAGCATTGGCTGAAGAGCTGATCTCTCCCAGTGAGCACTGAGCCTCTCTGCCTGCAAATAGCTTGAGATCACGCATCTACCTCAATTGAAGCCCCTCTATAGCCAGGTCATAGGCAACCCAGCCAGGTTGACCCTCTCCAACCTCGCAGTTGCACCCACCGATCTGGCAGCCGACGTTCCACAAGTCAATGGGGTTGTAGTTGGAAGAATCTGTCCTCCAGCCTGCAGGGTAGATCCGGCTGAGGTGCCTGATGTTGTGATGAATAAAACTGGTTCCTACAGAAAAAAAAAGAAGAAAATTACCCTTTCAGTGATGGGGACTACTTTTATTTCTTCTTGATGCTGCCATACGTACTGCTCCTCTGCCTGGCGAGTCTGGCTGAATATGAACTACCTATATAAAATGCCCTTCTTGGAACAGCCTCTATGATATAAAGTTATTCCCACTGTTTCTCAGTGACATGCATGGCCAAAGAGATCTTAACCCACATCTTTCAGGATGTCTTTTCCTCATGCTAGCTGTCCACCACCACTAGCTGTCCCTTTATGGGTGACTGAGACAGTGGATGGCCTTTTGCCAGAGCAGAACATACATACCAGACTCCTGGGCTAGTTTCAGAGCTTTGCTCTCTGTGAATGACGACATCTCGTAGAAAGCCCGAGGGTGGCTGGGGTCTTCAAAGCCATTGAAATGGACACTCTTGCAGTAGACAACTGTGTCTGACAGCTCCTTGGCCAGCTTCAAGGTGTCACTCTAAAAGCACAAGAGCAAGAGTTTTGTGGGGAGTTTCTGCAGTCATAATTCTAATAATCATGTTTTATCTAGGACCCCTGGAGCTTCTCTTCTCCACCATCTTCACATGAAAAGGATGCACACTATCAACACTCAGTGGCACCCCTATGCAGAGAAAGGGTGGAAAAGGGGCAGGCTGCCCTTACCATGTCCCCTGCCCTGCATGGAGAGTGCTAATCCTTCCTCTCGGAGCATCACTGCCCTTTCAAGCCCATCCTGACCTGTCCAATGATATCACTGACTTCCCAAGTGTTACTACCAAGAATATTTCATTTCATCTGGGCCATTTCTCCTTCTACATTTATTTGCATGTTATTATGTGAATGAGTATTTCAGCTTGGCTACCACAACTCACAAGTTGGTCCCGGTCCCAAGTGTGCAAACCTGGAAGTAAGGGGAAAGGAAGAAAGTTTTGGCCTCCAAAGAGTTTGGGCTTTTTCCCCTTGAACTAGGAAGTTCTCACAATGTAGGTGCCTCGTACTCCACAGCCACATTCATTGGTGCAAGAGTGAAGTGAGAGCCACCAGCTCCCATCAGAGGCAAGAAAAGAAAATGATAGACTTCAACATTATACACATTATTGTCTATAGTTCAGAGAAAGAAATAAGACCCCCAAAGAGTGAGCAAATCAGCAAGGGAAAGCATAGATCAGACCAGATCCAGAGGCAACATCAATTATCTTTGCCATCTATGGGACTGAATGTATTGATATCACCTATGAACCTGGTCCGTAAGGAATATGGCCTTCACAATGACCTGCAGTCTGGAAAAATGAATGTCCTCACATGAGGGAGCAAAACACTGATGTGTTCTGGGTGGAAAAGTCAGCCTTTTCCACCCAGAAAATGTCATCCAAACTGCTTTGACCCCTTCCCCATAAATCCATAGCTCTTCACTCCCTCCATTCCTCCTCCAGGTCAGAAAAACATGGCCAGTGAGGGTGCAGGTATGTCCCAAAATGTGACTAGAAAAGCATCAGTCTCTGGTAATAAACAAAGTCATGATGGTCCCATGACAAATACACTTCTGAAAATCAGACGGAGATAGATTGAACATGTGCCCTTCTACTGCTTCCATAAAAGCTGCATGGTCTGTCCCAGCTGCAGGGTCCTGCAGCCTCATTTTAAGGAAAGAAGCCAACCTTCATGCTTGACTGGCTCCAGAAGACCTCTGTTTGTGCTTGGGATGGAGATCATTAATCTGAGCAAGGACCGGAATCCTTAGCTCCAACAATTTCAACAATTCACCCTTACATATCCCCAGCTGAGCAGCTGAAACCACACTGAAACCTGTCCTAGCTGGGAACATATTACAAGTATATGTCAATTCCAGCATGAGTCATGGGATAGGCTAATGAGATGGGATTTCCTGATGCGGGACTTCAGAGCCTTCTGCAACAGGCAAAGATCTTGTTTATAGCTTTTCTGCCTCTCCAGGTCTGTTCCTTTTTAGGACTCAGTTAATTCTTTTACTTACCTTGCCCTTCTGTTGTATCTCAGTCTTTACAGATTCATCTTCGATTTCAGCTGCTTCATCTTCATCAGAGACATCCTCAGCCTCCAGGTTGTTGTTCCCATTTGTTCCAGTGGGGTCCTCCTGCCTGCTCAGCTTCTTGCCTTTCACAAGGATCTTCCCTTTCAATTGCTGCACAGGGAAAAGTGGACAAAACAACTGGTGATTAGTAGAAAAGATTCTGGCCTGCCCCAAAGGAACAGGGGTATAACAGCTCCTCAGCTGTAACCAAGGCCAGGGTCTTTTAGAGTTGCATCAGTCACTGGTTAGTATCAATAGATACAAATAAAATGTAAGTCTGTTTTTCCACTGAGGCCTTGCCCTGCCTCTGGCCAGTCTCTGAGACCACAAGCCATGAGTTTGAAAACCCCTGATAGCTCACAGATTCCCCTCCGATACAGAGCTGTCCATCCCCTCAACTAGGCAACTTAAACTCTCGTGCTGTTAGAGGCAATAAAAATATACTATTTTTTTTCAAAACTGAATGGGGCCCCACAAACAAGGCCAAGCCTGGAGGTTAGAGCTCATGGGAGCTATTCATGGCACTGTTTCTGCCCCTTTGTTATTTAATCTACTGCAGTCTCTGCAATGTATGGTTATAAACACATGCACAACTTGGGAAACGGTATGAGATCCATGCAGGGATGGAAGCAGTGCAGCCCTCTGCTCCGCCAGACATTTTAATGGGGAGAGAGGTCCATTAATTTCTGGACAGGTGCCTCATGCATAGCAGACATGGGATTTTAATACGTAAGGGATCTTGCAGGTGAAACCTTAGGGTGCTGACAGCCCACGGAAGAGTTCCCAGACCCTTCACAATGGTATTTCCTCTTCTGAAAAGAGCTTCTCCTGCAACTGCTACTGTGGTACAACACTAATCATAACCGGCAGCATGTGCCAACGTACCACAGCTGGCTGCTGAGCTAATCCAAGGAACACAGTTCTTGTGCTGAATCAACTCTCTCCAGCCTCTTTCAAAGTCCACATAAAACCTCAGGTGAAGGAACACACCAACAGCGCATGGTTGCTCGCAGACCACCATACCACTGATGTATCTCTTGTGCAAGATCTGACTGTGGGAGGAGGGCTGAAGCCTGAAGAGAGCTGACTCCGAACCCAAACAAGGCAGAAGCGACGCTGGCAGCAGGGAGCAGTACTGAGAAGGGCGATTGCCTGTATTCGATCACCACGTGAGTGGATTATGCTACAAAATCAGTTAATTCAGCCCAGGAGCACCCCTAGATCCTGCAGCTTCCAGTGAAATCAGTGGGAGATTTGCTGCCACATGGATGTGTTCGGTAGTCCTGGCTTTGGAGGGTGCTAGTTATTCTCAAAAAATGCAATCTCAGAATTAGCCAAGCTCTCAGTCTGTGTAGCATGTCTGCCCACCTCTCAGTGACACCCTTTATTTGGCCTTTCCACAACAGCAAAAGCAACGTTCTCAAATGACAGGCATTTTCACAGAACATTATTCCCCTTTCGTGGATGCAAGCAAATCACATCACGTCTTTTCAGAGACCAGCCCAACTCCTCACCACTGGGCTAAGCTGTGGAACCAGCTCAACTCCACCACCAGGCTAAGCTGTGGATGAAGCTTGGTTTGAGCCGAAATTTGACTCTGCCACCCTTGGCAGAAGCCAAGAGCATTTTTCTTCAGCTACCACAAATTATCTGTTTACATTGGGGCACTTTCCCTGTCACTCAAAAGCTACACAAAGGCAGCTGGAAGGAATGTACCAGTTACTGGGAATATAAGGCCCAAAGGAGCAGTCAAAGCATAGCATCCATCCTCCATCCTCCCAGCTCCTCTCAGCCCTCTTCCAGACAGAGCTGGGACCTGTCTTTTCACATCCGTGGCTGGGAGATGAGTTAGCTCATCTTCAGAGTCTCACTTCAGTCTGCTGCTCGCATGTCTCTTCCCACCCTCCTGCCATCAACATCCAGCTCTTCACTGTTCTACCACAACACACTCTGGCAGCAGATGAAATCCAGTTCTGTGTGAGTTTTTAGGCTCCAGTCAACACTTTGAATAGACAAGCCTGGAGGGATTGCACTGGGGACAGCAAGGAGGGGCTCAAAGAAGCCCTTCTTGTCCTTCACAGCCTGTGGATAACATCCTGCTATATAATACATTACTTGCCTCTGCTTTTTAATGTCGATAAGAAACATTACCACCTCATCTCACAGCTCAACAGTAGGAAACTAGGGATAAGGTACTTGGCGCAGGTTGCTTGATTTTTACTTACCGGTAGAGCTACTACCCCTTTTTAAGCTTCTCCAGTTCAGGACAGCCTGTCCAGCAAGCAGGAGGTATAATTTCTGGCACAGACCCACCCTACGTGGCTGAACGACATCAGCATTGAAGACACAGCAACACGGTCTCCACCTTTTCTCCTCCCCACACCCCATACCAGGGCTGCCAGCCGTGGGTCCTCGGTGCTACTGTTATCCTGTCTAGACTGTGGTTACTCTGGGAAACCTTGGATATACTGTAGATGCTCCTCATGGGCACATGGACACTGGTCAGCCCAAACTGTGTTATACGAGACTTTTGTAGGGTGATTATGGTGGTCCCCTTTTGGCCATGAAATCTAAAAGACTGGCTCCATTCTGGAGTCCTGTTGCATTGCAGAGGTTTAGGGGATGCTAATGCTGTGCAGTTGACTTCTGCCATGTCTACGAGGGAGAGCAGTCTATGTGCCACCTAACTTTGGAGAAGACGCAATAGCATATTGGTCCACAATGAGGGGTGAGATTCACCCCAAAACAGAACATTTTCATTGTTGTTTCCTGGAGAAAGTGCTGATCTATAGTAGCACTGCTCTGAATCCACTCTATAGAAGCTGCCAGTCCCAAACATTGTCTTCCTTCATTTTAATATAGGTGCTAGGAAGCAAAGTCCAAAATTTGAGTACTTACCTTCTTTAATAAGGTTTTAAATAAGCTGATACACACAGACACAAACACACACATGCACTTGTTTCATCTCACTTGGTTCCCCTTCATCTGATATTAAGTATTTCTAGCCTGAGGCGAAAGACACTCAGCTCATCAGTTCAGCTCTGTTGAGCAGATCTCTTGTCTTAGGAAGAAGCATTAGCTGAAATACTCAATAAATATTCTCCAAGTAGACCATAAAGTTATTCCAACTGCCTGTGGCAAGCCCAAGGTTGAATACAACCTAAGAAAATGGAAAAGGCTACAAGGATACTAGATTCTACTGAGTGGAGTGGCTGGGGGGATGGATGGCACTCCTTTCCCTTCCC